GTGCCATGTGACTCATCCCCATACAAGATAGGCAATTCACAAAATTATATCTTCATTGAATGTGTCAGTGTACTTGCTTAGATAGTACATTGTGTCAGTCTGGTTCACTAAGTTCTCGCTATACGCAGGATTCGGAAAAGGGCCGGACCTTAGGATCAATTATACGCAGTCTTACCCTATATTTCTGCGGCCTTACCAACTATTCACATGCTATAACTTGATAATTTCATAAATAATAGTAAACAAATCAAGTCACCATTATCCAAATGTCGCCACCCTCTCTAAATAAATAGGGGAAAGAGTTATGACAAATGCAAAGCACATAATTCAAAACAATGGCATCCAATTTCCATTTCCACAACAACAATAGCCAAATGAGTCAAAAAATTGTAGTAGTTGTAGTCCCTTTTCCAGCACAAGGCCATCTTAACCAACTTCTTCAACTCTCTTGCCTTATAGCATCTTACAATATACAAATCCATTATGTTAGCACAAAAACACATAATCTTCAAGCTAAACTTAGAGTTCATGGCTTGGACTCAGTTTCCAACATTCATTTCCATGCATTTTCTACCCCTACTTTCATATCTCCCTCTCCAAATCCCAATTCTTCTATTACATTCCCATCCCATCTTCAGCCTTCATTTGAAGCATCCACTCACCTAAGAAAACCAGTCAAAAAACTTTTGCATACACTTTCAGCCAAAAATAAAAGAGTCATTATAATAAATGACTCTTTAATGGGATCAGTGGTTCAAGATTTTGTGTCCTTAGAAAATGCAGAAGCTTACACTTTCCACAGTGTGTCAGCTTTTACTCTTTTCTTGTTTATATGGGAAACTATGGGCAGACCTTTCCCAATTGATGCTGAAATATTAAAAGATCTTCCTTCACTTGAAGGTTGTTTTAGTTCTGACTTTGAGAGATTCTTGAAAACAGAATATGAATACATGAAATTTAACTCTGGCAAAATTTATAACACATGCAGAGTTATAGAAAGTCCATTTCTTGATTTGTTGTCTAAAGAACAGATAAATGGTAACAAGAAACAATGGGCTCTTGGACCATTTAATCCTGTAACATTAAGTGGGACCAAAAAAGGGTCCAATATTAGAAGCCACAAATGTTTGCTTTGGCTAGACAAACAAGAACCAAACTCAGTGTTATATGTATCATTTGGTACCACAACTTCATTTTCTGATGAACAAATCAAGGAAATGGCAATTGGATTGGAACAAAGCAAGCAAAAGTTCATTTGGGTATTAAGAGATGCTGATAAAGGAAATGTGTTCACTAAAGATTTGAGACAAATTGAATTACCAAAAGGGTTTGAAGATAGAGTTAAAGAAAAGGCAATTGTGATTAGAGATTGGGCACCCCAATTGGAAATTTTGTCACATTCTTCGATCGGTGGATTTATGTGTCATTGCGGATGGAATTCTTGCATGGAAAGTATATCAATGGGAGTGCCAATAGTTGCATGGCCAATGCATTCTGATCAACCTAGGAATACTGTACTTATTACAAAGATTCTTAAAGTTGGTCTTGTTGTTAAGGAATGGGCTCGTAGACAGGAGATTGTAACATCAAATATGGTGCAGAAAGCTGTGGAAAAATTGATGGCATCAAAAGAAGGAGATGAGATGAGGAACAGAGCAAAAGATTTGAGTGCAGCACTTAGGAAGTCAGTGGCTGTGGGTGGAGTTAAACGCATGGAATTGGATTCATTCATTTCTCACATAACAAGGTGAATTTGATCAAAATCAAGAATATTTCATGTATCTTGTAATTTGTAGGGTTATAATTGCATCTACTATCAGTGTGTAAAAAATAAGTAAGATCCAATTGATAAACATTGTTGGTGTGCACTATCAATATAATTGAACTTATTATAATATAAAACGTGCTTTATATTTCAAATAATTAACCCTTCATTTATAACAAATACGTACTCGCTCTGTAGATCAACTTAATATTTTCAAATTAAAATGTAAATATTCAAAAACTATATAAACGACATCTTTTTCTCATATCCTTATGATCAATGGCAGATGCACGTGGGACGAAGCAGTGGAGCAAATAACATAAAGCAAATGACACCACTTGATATAAATTATCGCCTCAACTACAATATATTTTTGGCAAATATTTGAAAGAGACTCTGGTGTTAAGAATTATAGCTAGGTAGAATTGAGCTCCAAACTTCTTTTAATTTAAAGTCAACAAAACCAATGGTCTAAGGCTACTCCTTGTACATAAATATGATAGATAATATTATTTATTCCCTACTTTTTGATAAAAATATCGACACCACTTATAAAAAAATTATGTGTACACCCCTGCTTATGATATAAAAAAATATTTTAGACTATTAGTGAAATTTCATATAATTCAAATTTCGAAAAACAAAAAGTCTCATATAAATTAGAATGCATAGAGTTTTTTTCTTTTTTGTCAATTTTGCATAGGAGCCAGACTAGACTTGTAATTATTCTTTTTCAAAAAGTTAAAACTCGATCCGTTGATATGTAAATACAAATAAGGTGACGTAAAAAACAGGTCCCGCAGACAATGATCCATATATGATGGAAGAAAACGGTTGTACACTTGGAAGTGTTGACAAGTTTAGTAAGCTGTAAATGAAAAGTTAAAATGAAAGAAAGAAAGATTTAAACAGAGAAACTTGTGTCTGGATAATGGTCTGCAGCCTATAAAAAAATTGTCAAAGTAATGTTGTTCCTATCTTCTACTCCCATTTATTATTAATTAAAATAATCTATAATCTACTAGTACCAGTTTGTGGAAGAAAACTCCAGGCTTTATCCATATGTGCACGTGGCAATATTATATTATGATTCTCATCTCATATAATTGCTCTATTCTATTAAAATATAGATAAATTGAAAAGGATAATGACCCTAGTTTTTTTTTTATTATTATTAACAGTTTATTTGGATGGTTGTTACTTATTGATTATATTGTATCGTATTGTTACTTTAAATACGATATTTGTTTTGATTGTTACTTAAATTTTATTGTATCGTATCGTTAAATTCATTGTTATGTAACGATGAAATGTGTCACTTTATCTAACGACCGATTTGGTGTGATTACGTCGTTATCTTGTCTTTTTCTCTCATCTCACCTTTCATTATTATTAAATAATTTTATTTTATCATTTACCCTACCTTTTTATATAATAAATTTACTCTGTATCATAATTTTTCTTTATAATATTGCAAGTTTATTCTTCATATTGCTGATGCGTGATATGATGAAACAACGGTAAACAATACAATCTATCCGGACATTGTATTCATTAAACGATATAGTACAATATAATATAATACAATACATTATGAAACGATGTGTAACAATCATCCAAACAAGCCGTAAGATAACAATGTAGCAATCATTTCGATTTGGAGCTTCATCTCCTTCTAAACATGCCTTAGAGGGACAGTTTGTCATTTCATTACTTTGTTAAGTAAAGTTACTAATGATCCCATTGCTGCGGTTCTACTATTCCAACTGAATTTCATTATAACTCTCAAGCTGAAAATGGATCGATGAGGGAAATGTAGGGGGATGACATCCCCTCCAGTACTGAAAATTGATCCATTATTGTTCAATACATAGACCGATTTACTCCATGTGTCCACGGTCCACCCAACAATTTAATGGTTTAGATTCATTTTGTTGTAAACAATTAAAAAAGATAAGGCAATTTTCAATTAAAAAATGATAAGAAAATAACAAATAAATAAAAATACTAATAGCAGCCGTGTATATCAACTTATCTGCCATTTTCTCATTTCTTAAACACTACAATGCAGCATTAGGACCCACAATGGAGTCATAGTAAAGCTTAGAGCTATGTGCATTTCAAAAGTTTTCAGAATTTTATTTTTACAGTATCATAATTGATTTCTTATATTTTGAATGGATTTTTCTAATCTTTTGAGCAGGAGTTTGACAAATAACACATTACATTGACAAATATCATTTGTTTCATGTTGACACAAAAGCTCTCAAATAATGAGATCCAAGAGCTCCTCTTATATTGATACTTTTAGTTTTTAAACCTTTTCACTTATGAGTTCGGACATACAGACTTTTCTTGCTTGGCTTCAACTCATCTTTCAGAAAATTAAATTTAAGAAGGCACTTTGATTTAGTTTTTGGTCCAAGATTCTTTACTTCCTAAAAATAAAAAATGAAGTTATAGTTCTCTATCTAAACCGAATAAATTAAAGTTATCGAGTCGAATAAACCCAACAAAAGTGGCCCTAATGTTGCATTGTAGTGTTTAAGAAAAGAGATAAAATGGCAGGCAAGTTGATATACACGGCCGCCGTTAGTTTTGTATTTTCTTATCATCTTTAATTAAAAATTGCCTTAGCTTTTCTAACTGTTTACAATAAAATGAATCTAAGCCATTAAATTGTTGGGTGGACACATGGCATAAACAGGTCTATATATTGAACAATACTGGACCAACTTTCACTAGATGGGATCTCTCCCGATGTAGGGACCTTAATTTTGCACATTTTTAGGATAATGCGGTATTATGTACAACATTTCCAAAAAAAATTAGATTTCAAATCTGTGCATTTGTAAGAAGTATTTAGAAAATGCAAGAAACAAAACTTGAAATTAAGGACTAGGCAAGACGATCCTCTTATATTGCAGCAACAAGGAAATCAAGATTATGGCAAATACTTCCAAGCAATACAGAAATTAACATGATTGAAGTATCCAAAACATTTTAATGGTTGAAGAAAACGACCTTGTGCTCCCATGGGTCAATGCCAATGCCCTTAACTACCATTTAGCTTCACATTTTTTCTCAGATAAATTGCTCAAATTGGCACTATTTCGACTATGAATTATTGCTAAAGGCGAATATAAGTGGATTTAATGAGGAAGAGAAGCCCTAGGGCTCTGGTCTGGTGGTAAAACTGCAACACGTGGATTAGTCACGGACTCAGACTCTGCCATAGACAAAAATCTGAAAAAATAAGGTGCTATTATCCACCGAGTTTCAAACTGTATGTCACTGACCCTCACCCTGAGGAATTTATCAGTAGGGGACGAGAATATTGCCAATGACAATAGATAGCCATCAAAATTTGGAGAAACAATGGCCCCATCATATATCAATTAAATTAGCCTATCTGTTTCCTGGGAAGGGAAGACAAATGGAAATGAGAAATCTGATTACCCAGGGATCACATATTACACTACAGTCCCCTTATAACTCCAATATCTGATGTTCTCTAGTCTTGGCACTCCCTGAAGATTTAGTCCCTATAAGCAGCTCCTATAATGCAATAAAACAAAATGTTTTATGCCTTGGGACTGCACAGGCTCTTAAGGTCCTTATCCTTGAGATACCATTCAGGTATTATTTTCGCAGCATGGGGATAGAGATCCTTGTATGCATTCTTGATAGTCCCTTCTGCAACTGTGGTTGCAATTGAGATATCTGCATGTACAACCTCAGTCAAACCACAAATACAGAGCTAGTACAGACACCCAAGATTTACAAAACATATTCAGCAGATCCCGATCAAGCATTAGCCGACGTGGAAAACATAAAAAATAAGATCATCAGAAGCGTTAAAAATATAGCATGGTTTTCCCATATAAGCACCAAATAGATTCAAAACATATTGCCAAGATTCCCAAAAAGAAGGTAAATGCACAAACCTCGCAGAGGTTTCTTTGAATCTGTAAGCTGCGTCAGCATGTATATTATTGCTGCAGCAATTGATATAGGACTCCTCCTGCAAAACAAGGAATAAACATTTAAATCGTTATTTAATTTAACACGATAGACATATAGAAGTCTATGGCTAGTGATCCGAGAGATGACACCCATTTCCCATCCTGCTCCTTTTTTTAAAGTTGGCTGTTTTAGAACTCCAATGTTCTTACCAAAATGGACTCATGGAGACTTGCATATATTTCGCATTAAAAATAAAGCGTTAAACATTGTTCACGTGGTCTTGAAAGAGGGGAAAAAGTTCAACCCAAGTCTCGGACTCAGCTGACAAAAGCCCCTAGCTCCCTTCCAACTATGCAAAGACCTGACAGCAGGTTTCATTTATCAAGAACTTGTTCTCCAAGTTCCAGCAGAGAATGCAATTTGCCAAATTCATAATTAAAAGAGGTTGCACTAAATGTGACGGAAGTCTCACACCACCGCAAAAACCAATGCGTTTTCACTTAGAAACTTATATTATTTTTTATTTTCTCGAACTGGTAAATAACTACTAATAAGTATTATATTATTGATATAAACAGCAAAGCACTAAGAAAGTGCTCCGTAGGTACAAGTCTGAGAATCCCCAATGCGAAAACAAAAAGAGGGGCTCCTATCTATACTGAAATCGTTTCCTGTAGTGAATTCATGAAATCTAACATACTGTATTCATCCCATACATCCTATAAGTTGCACCAAAAGGCCAAAAACCAGAGACATTTGTATTTTTACATTCATATCCACAAACGACTTAATACTAGACTAAGAATTACTTGTGGCTAAGGCACGAATAATTAATATTGTGAACTTGATTAAACAATAAACTGCAGCCAAAAGTACCCCTACCTTATATCAAACTCTTCTGACTTCTTGACAGTTTCTTGGACAGCCTTAATCTCTTCATGGTTCATACCAATGTTAGAACAGAAACGTCTCTGACATTCATGCATTGTCCATGTCAGATAATATACAAACATTCATAGTGTACTGAATGTGTTCACAAAGAATAGTAGACCATAACACTTGGTCTCACTCACCAGATAGTCTCCAGCATGTATAGTCCCCATCTCCATTGATTCTCCCATTTCAACCTTCAATTGTTTCACAATGAATTCTTTTGCTCGGCCAATTTCCTTCTTTGTAGCTCCATTGGCCATTGAGCATATTTCTAGTTAATACCCAAAGGTTCAGAGAAGTTCAAAAAGAGAACTAAACCATTAATCTACATAATCAGACATCATGGCAACACCTTTTACAGTGCGTGGTTTGCCTTCTTGCCGGCAAGCAATGTAGATACAAGCAGCCACCAAGGCGTCCAGATTCCTTCCTCTCGTACACTTCTGGTCTTCCAGCCTTTTGTATATCTCACTTGCTCGGTCCTACAGAAGATTATGGAAAAGATGAATGTTAAAATGACAAAAGAGATAAGACTAGCTCTTACATAACGAAGGAGCAAATTTGTCCCAATACCATAGAGACTCGAAAAGGTAAAACCTAAAGATTGATTCCCATAGAAGGGATAAAAAGAGTATTACAGTTGATCCTTAATCTTCACCCATAAATTTCACTTCCCATATATTTACATTGTGGTTAAAACTCAAATGTTTGACAACAAACAACACATAGCGTCACATAACATGGGAATATGGAGAGTACAACAATTGACCATGTTGCTCTGGATCCATCATTACCACCAGCAGAAAGGCCTTGCATCTTTTTTTACCAATTATGATATTCCTTCAGGCATATGAAATCCGAAATTAAGGAACCAATGGTAACGAGACAGAGACATGTAAAGCTACTTAGTTATATCTATTGTCTATCAATTGTGGCATGGGAAGGGGCAAGTCCAAAGAAAAAAAAATTAAGGGTCACTGAATCTTCCCATCTCCATGGATAATACAACAGTATGACAGAAAGTATCATGGGCTGATGATCGTCACCAAGGAAGAAAAGTTCCCTCCGAAAGATGCCCAGGGGATTCTGGCAGTGGTGGCTGCATAGGCCACCTAGCCTTTGGGTAAAAAAATATTGCATGCAAGATCATAGTACGCATAGGCAGAGATCATCATATTATCATGCGGAAGTCACCTTCTTCAAACAAGCAGAGAAGTCTAGACTAGAAAAAAGATAGCAGTACGACACCTGAACTTTCAGTGAAAGGTTTTGAAAGACTTGGATTACCAGATGAGAATTACTAACACCTTATAAAGTATTGTGTTCAAGGTGAAGCTCATTTAGTAAAGTGAAAATCTGATACTCTTAGCAAACTTGTAAGAACCGGAGATTAAACAAACATGCAACAGCAATTCTAAAATCGCCTCCATTTGTGATGCAAAAAAAGAGAAACAAAAAAATCTAACAGAACAGGACACACCTTTATGGTAGAAACAAGGCTCAACCTGTAAAGAAGGAAAAAAACATTTAGTTCAGTTGATGCATACCAACAATATGTATCTGAAACCACTATAGTCACTTAGTTAGCCATCCAAATGCAATTAGAAAATAAGGCAAAACAAATGCGATCTCAAACCATCGGAGGCCAATGATAAATGAAAGAATTGTTAACAGCAAACCGACCAAATTTTAATATCACATCTCATCTCACAATGGACTTCCCTCCAAAACCTAAAAAGCAGAAGAAAAGGTTAGCTGCTCCTCTGGTAAGTTTTTCATAATGTTCTGGTTAGACCTGGCCTTAGATAATTCTATAATAAATGAGGTGCCACTACCGGTGCTGGTACCTGTGGAATTAGTCGAGGTGCACACTAGCTGCCCGGATACTACAGTTATAAGAAAAAAACAAGGTGCCACTAAAGTGGTCCATTTGACTTGGCATTTTATGCATAAAGCATGTCTTACGCTAGTCACAGCAAATGTATATTTGTAAAAAGCAGTGATAGCCTCATATCATCTGTTTCTGTATTGCATTGTATTCTGGCGATTTGGTGTATGTTTACAAATTTTTTGGAGTAAATGGATAATGTCAAGCATCCAAAAGGAGGCTATCAATAGCTGAAGTCTAATCAACCATCATACTAATGTCTTCTTATAATCCGGTGAAATAGTCAGGGGTCAGTGTACAGGCAAGTTGGACCGGACACCAAAGTCATAGAAAAAATATCTTCTTACAATTTCTCAACTTCCAAAGAAAACCCCACTAGGGTTTTATCTCTGAAAACCCAAGAAATCAAAAACCAAATGAAAGTACTCACTCCATCCCAATCTGACTAGCTTAATTCATTTATTTAACAACTAAATCCTAAATATTCTAAAACTAATACTACAACTTGCAATTCTCCTCATATCAAACTACTCTAATTTTTGAAGGGAAAAAAGATTAGGAAGTTCACTTAATTTACCTATCAGCCATATTGGCAATGGCCTTAAAAGCTATAACGAGGGCACGATCAGGATCGCCACCTCGATTCTGCAACCGAGCAAGAGAACCATCCCCATTACTCCCATTAGGCCCTTTAGAAATTACAGTAGAAAGGCCCACATCACCAAGCAACGGGTTAACGGGTCCTCCAACACGGTTCGGGTCATGATCACCTGAATCATCAGCAAACGTACGCCACTCCGAAGTCTCATCAATGGACCGGGATTCCAGCACAAGCCCACACTCCGAACAAACCGTATCCCCGGCGGCGTGGTCAAACACCACCTCCGTGTTCCGTTTGCAGTCCGAACAGTACGCGTCACCCATTCGGGTTAATTGTGACCCGAGACCCGATTATGATTGAACCTGAAAATGGAACAAAATCGATGAGGTAGAGAGAGAAGGATTATGTGTTGTTTGTGGAGTTGATTCTCTCTCTACAATCTGTGTGTTGGAATGGAGGAGTAAAGTGGAGAACAAAATGGGGTCAACCGGATATTTATAAATCGGAACGCTGATGCGGATCGGTAAGATGGTCGTGAGTGGGGACCACATTAGTTCATTCATGCAACTAAAACGTGGAAAATTTTATGCCAGGTGAAAAAAATTGATGGGGGTTGAAAAAAAATCAATTAGCTTAACTGTTGAATAATCTTGTCTGAAGTGTTTAAGTAGTCGACATTTTTTTTGGTAAAAAAGATAAATATCATTAATTAAAATCCATGCGTACAGAGATATTGGTGCCCAAATTGTACCATATTACAATCTAAGGTATTACTAGTAGTAGCAACATTGTTTGTGGTATTCCCAATGCAACTATCATCACAACGACATAAGGGTGTTGATAATAGCTGCTGTGTCTCCTTGTTTCCATTGTGTGGTTCGTTGCTCCTCCTCCCCATTGTCCTAGCATCAGGTGCGTACGCAGGAATTTTTATAAGCGATGTCGAAATTTATAAAAGAATTGGAGTATAACTTTAATTATCATACTTTTAGACAAAAAATAACCTTAGTGTATTGATTTTGTTGAGTCTTAAGTTAGAAAAGGTGTTCAATTCTACTTCATCACAATTTTTACTACAAAGACCCTCTCAAATATTTGTAAAAGAAAAATGTCCTACTTGAGGTTTGAACCTTTGACCTTTTAGAGAAAAAACAAGCACATTACCAACACACCAAGACACAATTTATGTCAAATGGTATCATTTTTCCTACTTATCCATTTTCGTACAGTATTAATATATATATATATATATATATATATAT